TCCCTCCAACCTTCCATCCTTCCAAACCTACTAACCCTTTCAGTCCTCTCAATCCTTCCTTCCACTTCCTTCTACTCATCTATCCTGCCAAAATTCCATCCTTCAACTCATCCATCCTCTCAACCTTCCATCCTTCAACTCATCCATCCTCCCAATCATCCATCCTTCAACTCATCCATCCTTCAACGCATCCATCCTGCCAACCATCCATCCTTCAACTCATCCATCCTGCCAACCTTCCATCCTCAAGCCTTCCAACCTTCCAACTCTCCTTCGCCTTCACTCCTTGCCCTCCGCTTTCGTCTTCCATCCATTTACATCTTCCCCGTTCGCTAATCCTCTTTTCGGAGATTATATTTTCCTTTTTGTTTCGTAAGCCTAAGTACACCTTCATCTTGAGACCCTTGAGAATGCAAGGAGGGAATGAGTGAGAGATGAGAGAGAGAGAAGAGAGAGAGGAGAGAGAGAGAGAGAGAGAGAGAGAGAGAGAGAGAGAGAGAGAGAGAGAGAGAGAGAGGAGAGAGAGAAGAAGGGAGAGGCAGAAGAAGGAAGAGAGGGAGAGGAGGGAAGAGAGAGAGAGAGAGAAGATCAGAGAGAGAGAGAGAGAGAGAGGAGAAGAGAGAGAGAGAGAGAGACAGACAGACAGAGAGAGAGAGAGAAGAGAGAGAGAGATAGTGAGCTGCAGAGATGATAACAGAAAGAGAAAGAATGACAGAACGATGATAGGAATAGCAGGAGACAGATGACACCCAACAGCATAGATTAATAGATAAGAGAGAGATGGACAGAAAGAAAAAAGAAACACAATTCAAATCCCAGAGTATATTTTATGAGGCGTGGAATTACTCAGTTCATATATCTTCCACGGATCCGATCAACTGGAATTATGATGTACGCGAGCGAGAGAAGAGGAGAAGAGGAAGCAGAGAGAGAGAGAGAGAGAGAAAAAGGGAAGAAGAGGAGATGACAGAGGGAGAGAGTAGAGAGAAGAGAGTATGAGAAGGAGAGAAGAAGAGGAGAGAAGAGAGAGAGTAGAGAGAGAACAGAGAGAGAGAGAGAGAGAGAGGAGAGAAGGAAAAATCATAAAAGGGAGAAAGAAAGCTCAGAAACTCACTCACACATACAGTCTATCAGAATGTTATTATGTACCATTACACGACACACACATGCAAAAGGGAAAAAAAATTGGACAGACACAACCACACACAACACACACACACACCACACATACAACACACACACACACACACACACACACACACACACACACAACATACACACACACCACACACCACACCACACCATTGACACACACACACCACAAACCACACACAATCGACACCGACATATATATATATAGTATATTAATATATAATATATAGGGTATAATACATAATATAAAATATACACCCATCAGCACACACACACTTCCCACCACACAACACTGGCCGAAACGAAAGCACACACATCAGGCACACACACACCACACATCACACATATTATAGATATATTATATATATATATATATAATATATATAGTATATATATATATAATATATATATAGATATATGATTATATATAATAATTACATATATACAACACCACACGACAGCACATACAGCTCACAAACACATACATCACACAACCACCCATCACGACACAGTATAGTATAATATATATATATATAATATATAATATATATATATCTATATTATATCACATACATGACATAATGATAATACATAATATACCATATATAGTGTATGTATATATAATATATAATATATAATATATATATAATAATAATATATATATATATACTATTTATTTAGATGCATGTGTGTGTGTGTGCTGTGTGCTGTGTGTGTTGGCTGTGTGTGTGTTCATTTGTTGTGTGTGTGTCGTTGTGTATAATATTATAAAAAATAAATATATATATAAATGATATAAATATTTTATATATATATATATATATAACTATATAGAAGAAGAGAGAGAAGAGGAGAGAGAGAGAGGAGAGAGAGAGAAAGGAAGAGGAGAGAGAGAGAGAGAGAAGAGGATATACGAAACGGAGATAGAGAGAGATATAACGGGTCAAGCGAAGAAGATAGAGAGAAGCACTGAAACCTGGAGGAGAGAAGCCAGCGTGCAGGGAGGATTTAAAAATTAAACGCACTCGGGAACACTCACTATTCTCTCTCCAATAACTGATCAATGGACATCAAGGTAATGAAGTCATCGGGGCTGTTCAGTTGCCTCCTCGCGTGAGCGGGGGGCGGGGGGGCTGCGGGGCGTCTCATCCACGCTCTCCCCGCTTATTTGGGCTCTCTCCTCGGCTTCTCTCTGTCTAATTTCTTTCTCTTCGTTCTCGGTCTCTGTCTCTCGCCCCTCTTGCTCTTCGTCTTCTAATTCTCGCTTTCTCGGTCTCTGTCTCTCCTGCTCTTCGCTCTATCGCGCCTTCCTCTGTCCATCTCGTTCTACTTCGTCTCTCAAAATACCTCCCTTTCCCCCATTCTCCCTTTCC